CGTATGAGGGGGCTGGGCGGGAAACGAGCGCGCGCTCCCGGCGACGATGGCTAGGGCCAAGGTGGCTGCAGCCCCTCGCCTCACACCCCAGTCAAAGCCACACGGCCTGCTACGAGTTTACCTCAGCCTAGCACAGCCTGCCTCAACTTACCCATCACCTCCACTGCGGCTCTTCAGCTACCAATAGAAGGGGTGTGGGAGGGGGATATATCTATATATATATATATATATATATATATATACACAGCATTAGCTCGACCACAAGAGACACCTTGCACGAGAAACCCAACCCTGGAACCCCAGGACGCCCATTGATTGTCGGTGGTTTGGGAGCGTCACGCTCTCCACGGCAAAGCCATCGAAACCCAAGACACCCAGGGCAACCTGGAGGCAAGCACGGTACTTCTTGGCATGAGCTTCCACTGTAGAATTGTGGATGCCACGACGATGGACACCCTAACAGTCCTATCATTGAGTTCAAGGTGTGTTTAAGATGTCGGATAAATGTTCTAAGCATGTTTCAAACATGCTGTTACATGTTTAAACCATGGTTGAAACATAGGTTGGACATCTCGAATGTATTTGGCAGCAAGCTTCTTCTCCACTGATCGACTGCCACCAGCACATAAAGGGGTTGGGAGACGGCTGCAACTGAGAAGCCACCGCCACAGGAGGGCGCAGAGCCCCCCCCGCACGCTCCGTGGACCCCCCCCCCACAGGCGGCCTCTAGCCCCGCGTGCCGTGCACCCTTCGCCTGCCTGGAGACGAGGGCCCTCGCCGCGGGACTGGTGGACGCCCGTGGGGGCTGCTCATAGGAGCAGGGTGCGAGGCGGGGATCTATCCACATCCACCGCACGGGAACCAACGTCCTGGTGCCCCAGCGGGCGGTGGATGTGGATGTACTTCGGCCCCCCGGGGGCCCGAAGATGTCCATAACCACCGCCTGCCGAGGCTCAACAAAAACTGACCCTCCGGGCGGTGGTCGTGTCTAAATTCCCGCCACGGGCCGGGGGAGAGGCCCTTGCGCCTCCCACTTCGGCGAGCGCGGCCCCGCCGACGCACGGCCCGGCGCCACGGCCGCCGCCGCAGCCACAGCCTCGGCCTCCCCTGCCGTCACCCCCTCGTTCACGCCGCAGCCCACACCTCGCCGCTCGATGGCCTCGAACCTGCTTCAGAAGCAGCCGTTCACGCTTTGGCCTACTACCCACCGTGGGTAGCAGAAGTGGTTGGCGTACGAGGGCCCTAGGAGGGTATGGGGGATGCTACAAGCCGACCGCCCAAGCGAAGCCCTTAGCGCCGTGCGGCCGCAGCAAGTACCCAGCAGCTCCTCAATTCTTCATCGGCTCTAGGCCTGTTGCACCAGCTCTAACACTCTGTGCGTTCCTCCTCCTGCCTGCCTCACTCCCACGTTTCCACGCGCCCGTCGGCGCCGCTGGACCTGTCTCTGACTGTCCGCCGCCACGCAGTCACAAGCGTGGCTTGTCGAGACACATGGACACCACACACCCTAGAATGTCTGCTCGTGGCCTCGCATCGCCCGCCGTGCCCGCCCAGCACACCCCGTGCAGCGCAGCTTCCGCCCACCACGATGAAGGGATGGGGTGGGTCTCCACACAGGCGGGGCGGGGACTGATTCTGGGGCAGTCTGCATCGGCCACCGCCAGAAAGCTCAAACCTCCCCCACGCTCGGTGGACACCCCCAGATCTACGCTTCTGGGAGCCCTGCGCCTGCTTGGCAGGCGAGGGTCCCCGTCGTGGGACCGGGGGGCGCCTGCGGAGGGTTGTTGTGGGCAGGGGGAAAGGCCTTTGCGCCTTCCCCCGGCGCTAGCGACCTCACCGACGCACGGCTCAGCGTAAACAGCCGCCGCAATTCCCGCAGCCTCAGAACCTCCACTGCATCTCCCTCCCTCTGATGCTTAGATGAGGCTCCTCTTCTCCCTTCCTCCTCCGTGTCTGTCTCCTGTCTGTCTTTACTGCTACATCTTACATCTCAACCACAGCTGGCAGCACCAGTCACTTGGCTGCTCCGTTTGATCACCCCCCCGTGGTCGACCGGCCCTGACTGGGAGGGCAACGCCTGGAAGACCTTTCTGCCCTAAGGACTCAGGACTCCGGAGAAGGAGGATCACGAGGAGGAGGAGGAGGAGGATCAAGAGGAGGAGGAGGAGGAGGAGGAGGAGGAGGAGGAGGAGGAGGAGGAGGGGGAGGGGGAGGGGAGGAGGAAGAGGAAGAGGAGGAGGAGGAGGGGAGGAGGAGGAGGAGGAGGAGGAGGAGGCGGAGGCGGAGGAGGAGGAGGAGGAAGGTAGCAGGGAGATGAGGGAGGAGGAGTAGGAGAACGAGGGAGAGCAGAGGAGGGAGTAAGTAGGAGGAGGGAGAGAGTAGGAGGAGGGAGGGAGTGGGGAGGGAGCAGGAGCAGGAGGAGGGCGGGAGGGATGGGAGGAGGGAGGGAGTAGGAGGAGGAAGAACTCTCTCTCTCTCTCTCTCGCTCGCTCTCGCTCCTTTTCCTCCGCACCATCCTGGCGGTCGCCTCTCGAGCGGCGCGCGTGCACGAGACTCCCGCCAGGGCGCGAGGGCGGGGCCCCCGCGGCTCTATCCCCCCCCGCGCCCTCGCGGACACCCTCCGACGAACTTGGCACGTGCCTTCAGGGAGCGGCGTAGAAAGCCGCAGGCCGCTGGCTCCCAGTGGTGATTCACACACCGCCACGCTCCCCTGGCGCCCAAGAACAATCCATTGGAGGATGTGTGCGTAGATCGATAGGACCACCCTACGGGTGATAAGGAGGTTTTGGGGGAGGGGGAGGCGGTGGATTTGCGATGGCTCTGACGTCTTCGGTAGTTGCTTTGACCTTCCAATTGTCGCGCGCATCTACCCATCTATCTATCGGCCTATCGATCGAATTACCCATTCAGGATACCCATACCTCTACAGATATACCAGTCTGTCTATCTACCTCTATACTCGTATATATGCACACACCTAACTATATTTAGATGCATGCATACATATATATGCCGATCTATGTACATACCTATATATACCTATAGGCATACATACACATATATACGTGTGTATCGATATATATATATATATATACGCATATATCTATAGTTGTATATATACACATGTATATCTACATATATGCATATATGCATATCTATATATATATATAAATATCTATAGATATATCTATATCTATCTATCTACAAATCTATCTGTATACACACAAACATATATATATATACCTATCGATCTATCAACCATCGGGACAACCATCGGGACAACCATCCGGATAACCATCGGGGCAACCACCGGGACAACATCTAACGACATCTGTCTATCTACCTATCTACCTATCAACATCGACACAACCATGGAGACAACCACAACCATCGGGACAACCGCCGGGACAACCCGGGGCCACGCCTGGCGCTCGGGGGGCGGCCCTTTTGGCAATAGATGGCCCCTACCAGTGCAGGAAATCGCGCAGCTTCGCCTCGCCCGCACGCGCGACACGAACCGAAACCGAAACCGATTTCACGGTTGGGGTCACTTCCGTTCACACCCCCCAAGCCTCAGATTTTTGTGGAGGAGGGGGAACCGCGAACTGCCGACACGGGCCCCCGTGGCGGGAGGGGTCGCTGTTCGACGCAGGGGCCGCGCGCTCCTTCGAAACGCATCGGCTGCGCGTATTAAAAGACGAAAAACACCAAGCCGGCTCCCAACACGGGCCCCCGTGGCGGGAGAGGCCGCTGTTCGACGAAGGGGCCGCGCGCTTCTTCGAAACGCATCGGCTGCGCATATAAAAAGACGAAAGACGCCAGGCCGGCTCCCAACGCGGGCCCCCGTGGCGGGAGGGGCCGCTGTTCGACGCAGGGGCCGCGCGCTCCTTCGAAACGCATCGGCTGCGCATATTAAAAGACAAAAGGCGCCAAGCTGGCCAAGCCGGCTCCCAACGCGGGCCTCCGTGGCAGGAGGGGCCGCTGTCCGACGAAGGGGCCGCGCGCTTCTTCGAAACGTATCGGCTGCGCATATTCAAGAGACGAGAGGCGCCAAGCTGGCCAAGCGCAGCCCCTCACACACCCCGGTCTGTGATGTGCGTGTGTGTGTATTTCTGTGTGACTCTGTGTTTTTTTTTATGTATGTGTATGTGTATGTGTACTTCTACGTGTACGTGTATGTGTATGTGTATGTGTATGTGTATGTGTGCGTATGTGTGTGTCGCATCTTCCTTGCTGGTTGGCTGGTTGATATGTTATTAATGTCCCCGAGGACGGGTTGCTCTTGATAGCTGACCGTTGCCAACAGAGAGGCTCGGCGCACAGAAGCTGCTAGCTACTGGATTGAAATCTGTAACGCAGCAGTCAGAACTACGCGCCAATACCAAACCAATAATCCGTGGATGCATCCAACTGCGGGTCACGAAACTAGTCCGAGAGACGCCTGCGGCGACTGCGGTCCCGTTGTGGGTCCACTGCGGCGCCTGGGTGCAAGTTATTACTGGAGTCACGCCGCTGCTGGAGAGTAAAACAACTGACACCAACATAAACAGAAACTTTCGGATGTCTGCGCGGATTGCCCAAGTCAGCGTTGGACCCGACTCCCCTGGCGGGGTGGAACGCCGAGGCCGAAAATCCGCGCAGACCTCCGACAGTTTGTGCTGATGCACTGTGTTGTTCCTCGATCCGCTGCTGGAGTGACGAGCGCCCGCGTCTCCCAGACTGCAGCTGAATGCCAGAGCGTAGAAGGAGGAGGGCGCAGATGGCAGAAGCCTGGAGTCAGCACGCAAGACCGCGCGAGGGAACGAAGCGGGTGGGGCAGGACGCCCCCCAGCAAAAGACGAGTCTGCTTACAAGACAGTCTGCTCTAGCGCCAGGGCGGAACAAGAGACCACATAAACACAGACTTTCGGAGGGCCGCGCAGAGTATTGTGTCGGCGCTGAAGGTGACACAGGCCTCCGAAGTATATGCTTACGCAGGTCGTTGTCGTTGTCGTCGTGGCCGTCGTCATGGCCGTCGTCGTCGTCCTTCTGGGTCGGCGGCACCAGCCGTAAAGCCTTCAAAATAGAATTCTCACGCCTCCCACCCTCGCCCGCGAGAAGAAGCTCCAAGTGGGCCATGAGCACGTTCCAAGAGACCATTTCTCTGGCCTCGAAGGGGCGAAGCGAATCGAGCTCGCTTTGTTGGGTCGATGGCATCCCGGGTTGCCCCAAAAGGACCCCAAACTGCTTTCAACTGGACGCCAAGAGAGCACCAATAGGGCCCCGGTCCCAAACGTTCCCTGAACTGCCCGAAGACGAGACCTCGATTTCGCCCCTCGGGTCTCGAGAGCCCCAAGAGTCCTCCGGAGGCCCCAGCTTGGCCACCGTAGGTGGCTGCTGGGGCTGACCCCGCCTCCGATGTGAGAAGGGCCCCCTTCATGATCGCTCATGTGCTCCACTTGCGCTCCCGCACGACTGTTCTCACGGCACATCGCCTGGGATTCTCTCCTGGGTGAGCGGGTGGGCGTTCCCCCCCCCTCCTTGGGACGCACAAAGACATATCATACTGGCAAAGCAACCTAACAGCGATGTGTAGGAGCATATCTGGAAGCATTCCCCTCAAGATTCAGATGAGAATCCAGTTGTAGAATTCTGCTGTTCTCGCAGTCGCAGTCACAGCCTCAGCCTCAGCCTGCCTCAGCATCAGCCTGCCTCAGCCTCAGCCTCAGCCTGCCTCAGCCTCAGCCTCAGCCTGCTTCAGCCTCAGCCTCAGTCTGCCTTCAGCCTCGGCCTCAGCCTCAGGCTGCCTCAGCCTCAGCCTGCATCAGCCTCAGCCTCAGCCTCAGCCTCAGCATCAGCCTGCCTCAGCCTCAGCCTCAGCCTGCCTCAGCTCAGCCTCAGCATGCTCAGGCCTCAGCCGCAGCTGGCTCAGCCCCTCAGCCTCAGCCTGCCTCAGCATCAGCCTCAGCCTGCCTCAGCCTCAGCCTGCTCCTCAGCCTCAGCCTGCCTCAGCGCCTCAGCCTCAGCCTGCTTCAGCCTCATCCAGCCCAGTCTGCCTTCACCTCGGCCTCAGCCTCAGCCTGCCTTAGCCTCAGCCATGCATCAGGCCTCAGCCTCAGCCTCAGCCTGCCTCAGCATCAGCCTCAGCCTCAGCCTGCCTCAGCCTCAGCCTCTGCCTCAGCCTCAGCCTGCTTCAGCCTCAGCCTCAGTCTGCCTTCAGCCTCGGCCTCAGCCTCAGCCTGCCTCAGCCTCAGCCTGCATCAGCCTCAGCCTCAGCCTCAGCCTGCCTCAGCATCAGCCTGCCTCAGCCTCAGCCTCAGCCTCAGCCTGCCTCAGCCTCAGCCTCAGCCTGCTTCAGCCTCAGCCTCGGTCTGCCTTCAGCCTCGGCCTCAGCCTCAGCCTGCCTCAGCCTCAGCCTGCATCAGCCTCAGCCTCAGCCTCAGCCTGCCTCAGCATCAGCCTGCCTCAGCCTCAGCCTCAGCCTCAGGCTGCCTCAGCCTCAGCCTGCCTCAGCCTCAGCCTCAGCCTGCTTCAGCCTCAGCCTCAGTCTCCCTTCAGCCTCGGCCTCAGCCTCAGCCTGCCTCAGCCTCAGCCTGCATCAGCCTCAGCCTCAGCCTCAGCCTGCCTCAGCATCAGCCTGCCTAAGCCTCAGCCTCAGCCTGCCTCAGCCTCAGCCTCAGCCTGCTTCAGCCTCAGCCTCAGTCTGCCTTCAGCCTCGGCCTCAGCCTCAGCCTGCCTCACCATCAGCCTGCCTCAGCCTCGGCGCTTGGCCATGCTTCAGCACTCAGCCTCAGTCTCCCTTCATCTGCCTCAGCCTGCATTCAGCCCAGCCTCAGCCTCAGGGGCGACGTCAGCATGCAGCCTGCGTCAGTCTCAGCCTCAAGCCTGCCTCAGGCCTAGCTCAGCATGCTTAGCCTCCAGCCTCAGTCTGTCTTCAGCTCGCCTCAGCCTCAGCCTGCATCAAGCCTCAGCCTCAGCCTGCCTCACCATCAGCCTGCCTCAGCCTCAGCCTCAGTCCTCAGCACTCAGTCCTCAGCTCCAAAAGAGCCTCAGCCTACTGCTTCAGCCTCAGGCTCAGCCTGCCTTCAGCCTCAGCCTCAAGCCTGCCCTCGGCATCAAGCCTGCCTCAGCCTCAGCCTCAGCCTCAGCCTCAGCTGGGCCTCAGCATCAGGCCTGCCTCTGCCTCAGCCCTCAGCCTGCATCAGCTCAGCATGGGGCTGCTTCAGCCCAGACTCAGTCGTGCTCAGGCCTCAGCCTGCTTCAGCCTCAGCCTCAGTCTGCCTTCAGCCTCGGCCTCAGCCTCAGCCTGCCTCAGCCTCAGCCTGCCTCAGCCTCAGCCTCAGCCTGCGTCAGCCTCAGCCTCAGCCTGCTTCAGCCTCAGCCTCAGTCTGCCTTCAGCCTCGGCCTCAGCCTCAGCATGCCTCAGCCTCAGCCTGCATCAGCCTGAGCCTCAGCCTCAGCCTGCTTGAGCATCAGCCTGCATCAGCCTCAGCCTCAGCCTCAGCCTCAGCCTGCTTCAGCCTCAGCCTCAGTCTGCCTTCAGCCTCGGCCTCAGCCTCAGCCTGCCTCAGCCTCAGCCTGCATCAGCCTCAGCCTCAGCCTCAGCCTGCCTCAGCATCAGCCTGCCTCAGCCTCAGCCTCAGCCTGCCTCAGACTCAGCCTCAGCCTGCTTCAGCCTCAGCCTCAGTCTGCCTTCAGCCTCGGCCTCAGCCTCAGCCTGCCTCAGCCTCAGCCTGCCTCGGCCGCAGCATCAGCCTCAGTCTGCCTCAGCCTCATCCTTGTCTCAGCTCAGCATCAGCCTGCCTCAGCATCAGCTCAGTCCTGCTTCAGCCTCAGCATCAGTCTGACATCAGCACTCGGCCCAGGCCTCAGCCTGCCTCAGACTACAGCCCCTCAGCCCATCCTCAGCCTGTCCTCAGCATTCAAAATGTGGCCCAGGAAGGTAGAGTTCTGGGAACTCGAGAACACGAAAAGCTGCATACATTGGATCCTGGGGCATTATCTGCCCATGTGAATTGAGTTCTGGAACCGAAGACCACGAAGCGGCCTACAGTTGGCTCCGGGCATTCAAAATCATGCCCAGGAATGGAGTTCTGGGAACTCGAAGACCACGAAGTGGCCTACAGTTGGCTCCGGGAATTATCATGCCCAGGAATGGAGTTCTGGGAACTCGAAGACCACGAAGCGGCCTACAGTTGGCTCCGGGAATTCAAAATCATGCCCAGGAATGGAGTTCTGGGAACTCGAAGGCCACGAAGTGTGTTACTGTTGGCTAAACAAGGAGTCCCTGGATTCCAGGGGCACCCGTCCGGCATCTGCCCAGACCCCCCTGGAGAGTCATGATGCTCTCTTTTGAGACCACTAGAAGCCTATCAGTCTTCGCTGTTAGGTAACTAAGACTATATGTCCTCCTTGGAGGCGCGCGTCCGATCCGAACATATAGTATACCTATCTTGTAGTATATCGTTTCCCGAGCGGCGTGGCCAGAAAGCGCCCGCTACGACGCATACACCATAAGATTTCTCGGTGCGCGCGTCGCCCCCGGGGGGGCGACGCACATATAGTACAAGTATGTTGGGGTGCCGCCGATCCCTCACTCGAAGAGCAGCGTTCGTCTGATGAAACGGCACCGCGCAGCTCCTCGCACCACGGGAGGGGCAGGCTGCTCGACCTGCAGTGCTCACACTGAACGCCCGGAGAGCAGATGCCCACGTCCCGTCGAGCGCCCGGAGTGGAGCATCTCGCGGAAGATAACAAGGAAAGAGAGCCGCGGAGCCCGTGCGTGGGGAAACCAAAAATGCGAAGCGGGGATTTATCCATATCCACCGCCTGGGAACCGACGTCCTGGTGCCCCAGCGGGCGGTGGATATGGATACATTTCGGCCCCCGGGGGCCCGAATATGTCCATATCCACCGCCTGCCGAGGCTCCAAAAACTGACCCTCCAGGCGGTGGTCATGCATAATTTCCCGCCTCGGAAAAGGTACCGATACCGCTACTCCCCAGACCTCTCCTGGGGTGCGTTCTGACCAGGATTTCGAGGCGAATCCAGCGGTGGCGACGAGGGCCTCCCGGGAGGCCCGAAAAGGGACAAGCGAGGGGAGGGTGGAGGGTAGAGGTACCTTTCCCTCCTCGAGTGCGCGTTGACATAGCGTGCAGGCTCGCGAGGCTGCCTCGGCCTTGCAGGGCCGGGCGTGCAGCGAGAGCGAAATTCGTCATACCGTTACAGGCCCACGGCGGGAAAGGGCCCCCGTCCGCCGTGGCGAGGGGCCTCGAGAGCGGCTGCCCCCTGCGGCTGCAGGGGGAGCCCCTGGGCGCGCGGAGAGGGGAGGAGGGAGGCGGGGAGGAGGGGGGTGCGCGGCGGAGGCAGGGAGGGAGGGGAGGGAGGGAGGCAGGGGAGAGGGGCAGGGAGGGTTGGGGGAGAGAGGCGCGAGGGGGGGGGGGGGGAGCGGCGGAGGGAGGGAGGCGGGGGAGAGGAGGGCGGGAGTGCGAGAAGCAGGGGAGCCCGCGGCGCGGGGAGATGGGGAGGAGCAGGGAGTCGAGGGCGGGCGGGGCGGGGGGGGCAGGCGGAGGGAGCAGGAAGGAGCTCGAGGCACCTGCGCGCCACTCGCTCAAGCTCAAAAAAGGCCCTGAGGGCCTTTTTTGAGCTAGGGCAGGAAGAAGCCCTAGCTCAAAAAGCCCCGCGAGGGGGCAGGACACAAGTATAACCTGGCTCACTGGCAAATGAACTGCTCGAGAAAGTCTGCGAGCGAAATCCACTCTGATCGTGAGCCGGCAGCGTGGTGCTTGAGGCACTTGCGCGCTACTCTGCACACAAGGCCGGGTCGAAACGCCCCCCCAAAAAGGGGGCTGCTATCAGGTTGGTAGCAGCCCAGGGCCAGACCGACTCGGGGCCATGATGTTATCAGGGCTGCCGGGAGTGACCTCGGCCGAGGGTTCCCGTAACTCGAGAGCCGCGAACTGTTTGTTCGTGCTTTTTATCCCTCAGCGAAGCATTGAGCTCAGCGTAGGCGGAGTACGTGGCGAGGCAATAGAGGCCTCCTAGGTGGGGTCGGAGTAGATATGGGTCGGAAGATCGCGCCGCATCGCCGATACATCGGCGATGCATCGGCGATGCGCCACAGATGCATCGTCGCCGTCGGCGGTGCATCGGCGGCGTCGGCGTGAAGCAAATCGGGCTCCGCATCGAGCCGCACCGGCGATGCATGGGCGATGCGGAGCGATCCTTGGACCCCATCTACTCCCACCCCATCTAAGAAGCCTAGACTGAGGAGGAGGGAGGGGAGGAGGAGGAGGAGGAGGAGGAGGAGGAGGAGGAGGAGGAGGAGGAGGAGGAGGAGGAGGAGGAGGAGGAGGAGGAGGCGGAGGAGGAGGAGGAGGAGGAGGAGGAGGAGGAGGAGGAGGAGGAGGAGGAGGAGGGGGGGGGGAGGGGGAGGAGGAGGAGATGGAGGAGGAGGAGGAGGAGGAAGGGGAAGGAGGAGGAGGGGGAGGGAGGGGGAGGGGGAGGGGGAGGGGGACAAGCTAGGTGCGCTCGCGTCATATCTGACGTCCTACCCCTCCCTCCCATCCCTTACCATGGCGCTGATTTTCTCTATCCGCGGACGCGTGTCGTAGCGGACCTGTGGCTCCGCGCGCGCGTGCGTAGTGGGTGGTGGTGCGCGTGCGTGCGTGCGTGTGTGTGTGCGTGGTTGTGGTGGTGGTGGTGGTGGTGGTGGTGGTGGTGGTGGTGGTGGTGTGGTGGTGGTGGTGGTGGTGGTGGTGGTGGTGTGTGGTGGTGGTGGTGGTGGTGGTGGTGTGTGTATGCGTGTGTGCGCGTGTGCTGTGGTGTGACGTGGTGTGGCGTCTTGGTGGTTTGGTGGTGGGCCAGGTGCGTGCGTGTGTGATGGCGGTGGCGGTGGTGGTGGTGGCGGTGGTGGTGGTGGTGTGTGTGTGTGCGTGTGCGTGTGCGCGTGTGCGTGTGCGTGTGCGCGTGTGCGCGTGTGTGCGTGTGTGCGTGTGCGTATGTGCGCGTGTGTGTGTGTGTGTGTGTGTGTGTGTGCGTGTGTGTGTGTGTGCGTGCGTGCGTGCGTGCGTGCGTGCGTGCGTGCGTGCGTGCGTGCGTGCGTGCGTGCGTGCGTGCGTGCGTGTGTGTCTGTGTGCGCGCGCGTGTGATGTGGTGTGACGCGGTGTAGCGTGCTGGTGGTGGGTGGGGTAGTGGGGGGGTGGTGGTGGCGGTGCGCGTGCGTGCGTGCGTGCGTGCGTTGGTGGGTGGAAGTGGCGGTGGGCGGGGCGGGGCGCCGTGCGGTGGTGGCGGGCGGATGGGCGCGCGAGCAAGAGGCCCGCGCTGGGGCGAGAACGCCATCCTGAACGACGGAGGCAAAACACCGATCCGAAAATGAGACCCACGCTGCAGCGGGAGCACGATTCGGAACGAGCGGGGCCCGAAAATGAGGCCGGCGCCTCAGCGAGAGCAGCATTTTGAAAAAAAATGCAGGCGAAAACCCAACTCCCGGGAATCCTGTGCGTAAAAAAGCAGGACACGGGGGGGGGCGAACACTCCCAGCACGTCATCAGGGGAAGAGGGAGAGTAGTATTCATATTGAGTAATTGTAGAGGAGGGGGAGGAGGAGGAGGAGGAGGAGGAGGAGGAGGAGGAGGAGGAGGAGGAGGAGGAGGAGGAGGAGGAGGACCCCATCCAAGAGGCCTAGAGACAAGGAGCGCCGCGTGGGGAGCGCGGCGGCGGTGTTTGCCGGGCCGGAGAGCCGCCGCCGTGGCCCCCACCGTGGCACGCCGGGGCACGGCGGGCTCGGGCGCTGTCTGGCGAGGGGTTCTGCACGTCTCGTCGCCGATGGGCAATGCTTGGCGGCGCGCACAAGTGAAGGGGCCCTGGGACACACAAACAAACACACACAAATAAAACAAATCCCCATATTTTCTGATATTTTCTGGGCTTTCGTCTTCCCCCCCCCCACTTCCCATACTTTCCCATATTTTCCTGGGGATCGACGATTAGTTGTGTCTGTGTGCTTCTTTCCCTCGTGAACAAGGGGGTGGGGGGGAGGGGGGGGAGGGCTTCTTAGCTTCTTAGGAGGCGCCAGCCTTACATCTATAGAGAAGACCCGCGCCTTCTAAGAAGCCGGGGTGCTTCTAAGAAGCCCTCGCCCCTTCCCCACCCCCCTCTGCGCGTCGCCGATGGGCAATGCCGTAGTCTTAGGCCGGGCATGTCCTCCTGCGGGCGGCTTTCGGACGAGAAAGGAAAATTAGCCCAACAAGGTCAAACATAGGTAGTTGAACAGTCGTCCCCAGACGATTTTTTTAATACTATTTTTGGATGATCCTCCTGTAGAGGGACATGCCCGACTTGCCCGTAATCTTAAGTTGGGCGCGTCCCTCTACAGGGGAAATTGTCAAAAAAAGTAATAAAATAGTCAGGGGACTTTTTTTTGATTTTGTTTTGAACCATTTTTGATTCTTTTTGTACTACTTTTTCATTTTTCGCCCAGAATCCGCCTGTAGAGGGGACACGCCCGACCTGACCGTAGTCTTTGGAGGGGTGGGGATGGTTGGCATCCCAAGTTCGTCGTCGCGGTGGGGTGCCTCTCGCTCGCGGTCTCCGCGACGGTCTGGGAGCGTGCGGGGCGGAGAGTGCAGATTCGCATCGCGAAGGGGCTTCCATTTCTGAAGGGGCCCACAAATACACAAGTAATTACACACAACTCCCAAGCTTCCCCATATTTTCACATATTTTCTGAGTTTTTGTCTTCCACCCACTTCCCATATGTTCGCATATTTTCCTGGGAATCGACAATTAATTGTGTCATTGTGTTTCTTCCCTCCTGAATTTTGGCGGCGCGCACAAAGGGGTATGGGGGAGGGGGGAAGGCTTCTTATCAGGAGGCCGCTTCTTCTAAGGCGCCGGCCTCACATCTACAGGCAAGGCCTGTGCCTTCTAAGAAGCAAGGGTGTTTCTACGCAGCCTTCCCCCCCCCCCTGCCCCCTTCTGCGCGTGGCCAGCACTTCCATTCCCCTTTCCGGGTCGCGCTTCCGTGAGTGCATTGCTCTGCCCCTCCTAAGGCTGCCTGGGCGGCGATGGCGCCTCTCTGGCGCTCTAGACGCCTCTCCGAGGCTTCCACCACGGCCGAGGAAGCCAACAAAGGCCTTCGAGACTGCCCAAGAGGCTCCCAATGTGGCCTAAGGGGGCTCTAGAGGGACCCCCAGGAGGGCCCCGAGAGGCCAAACTCATGGACTTTCTGAAGGAAAATGTCCGACATATTTTAGCGTTCTCGCCTTCGCTGGCTCTTCCAAGGGGGGAGGAAGACGACGAAGACGAGGAGAGACACTCCGGCACGATGCGGAAGAACGTGTCACATGTTACGGCTACATGAAGGCTGGGGACAAACCATGCCGCACGCCAGGGCCCATTCTGAGCGGTGCTCGAAGGGTCGCCGCCCAGAGTGCTGCGCCGGCACGGTGGCGGAACTTGCCGCAGGCAGCCGGATCATTACAATGGGGGCCTGCCCTTCCGCGAGGTGGCCCGGAACGGCCAGAGGAAGAAATAACGGCACAAGCTTGAAAGGTTCTGTTTGTGGCGTTTTCTCTTCTTCGACCGGCCATCCTCAACGGCGGCACACTGCGTGGTCTGCGCCGTCCAGGACGAATGGCCTGTACTCGGGGTTGCGCACGCGCCTCATGCGGGGGTTCTCCGCGCGGGCGAGGTTGGCGGCCAGGCCCTGCACTGTGGCCACCGAGATGTCGACCCCGGGCGCACCGACGGGGAGGCCCGCGCACGTCAGGCGCCCGTGCCACGCTCGCTGGAACTTGGAGGCCGCCTCCTCCGAGACAAAGTTGGCGAACGCCTGGCCCCGGCTCTTGCCTGAGATGAAGTCCCGGGGCATGTAGAAGAAGTCCGCCGACCCCGTGGGGTTCATCGGCGCGTGAGAGGTTTCCCCCTCCCGGGAGCCCCTCCCCCGGGAGCCCGGTCAGTCGAAAACATGCTGGTAAGCTTAGGTATGTGTTACGCTTCAAGCGTTGCCATATCCCAGGCTTTGGCTCATATCGCATGAGCAAGAGAGCGAGACGAAGCATGGGATCTGGAGTAAAGGATAGAAGGGGCATCTTCAATGGAAAAGGTATTTTCCGATCTCAGATACCAGTCGTGCGCCTCGGTGAGGCACAGTCATATATTTGGCCGGGCCCGGCTTGAGCCAGGCACGGCAGCGGTACATGCTCGATTTATACCTCGCCTTTAACCTTCTCCGTTTAAAGTCGGAGGGGGAGGAGACGAGCAGGCACCGCACTTCTACATTACGCGGAAAAACAGTGCTAAGCAGCAGCGGCTGCCTACAAGGCAAGGGCGCGCGAGTAGCCTCGCTACCGGCGAGTTTCCTCGCTACTAGAGCGCACCTGCATGCGGGTTTCCCCGCTAGCTCGGGAGGCAGGGCCGTCCTGAGACGACCTGCCCGCCCTATACGGAGTATGTTTCTTCAGCTCGTGCTTGAAGGATTGCTGGCCGGCCATTACTTGTAGGAGCAACGCGCGGTCAATACTACCTTTGGTATGACCATCGGCAGTCATATCCCGCGTGTCACACCATTGAACGCTTTCAACGATTCCGCGCTCCATCATCTGGCGGATCCAGCTAATGTGCCCAAGCAGAGTACATTCTGTGGGCTTCTTCAGATCTTTGCTAGACAAAGACTTGAAGACAGACTCGGCATCAATAGTCAGAGTGACTTTGATACATAGACCACCCATTTCCAATATGTTCTTTAACTGTGTGGGGGTCAATGGTCCCGAGTGTAGCTCGTGGAGCGTTACAATGGTCGGGTAGCAGTCTTCCAAGTTGTGGGCTGCTGCCAGTGTTTCCGCAGAGTAGCTCGAACGCACCTGCAGTCGATGAGACTTGCAGTATGCGTCCACCAGGTGCACGACGGGTTTCCCCGCTTGCGTGTGGCCACGCCTCAGCAGGTTAGCCCCGCGGATACCATAGCCTTTGACTTCGTCGTCTTCATCTCCGTTGAGACGACGATAGCCAGAATCGCTATGCAGGTCGACTTCTCCTGTTGGGTCATAGCTTGATACACGATCTTCTTCGGACCTGCCTGTAGTTTCCTGGTAACCGCGTTTAGTCGTCGTACCTGGATGTTTGTCGGTTCCTGGATACGTTGTAGTGAGACAACATAGACCATCAGCCATACCTGCGTGATCAACGCATAGGCTAGAGCGCCACGAAGACTGACGAACCTATCAGAAATCGTCTTTGTCGCTTTGCTCTCAGGATCAGCCCCTGTGAGTTCTGGATGTGTGATAGGACGAAGCTGTTTGATGTATTCGTCCTGATCAAGAGTGACGCTCCCATCATCGGTCTTGTTGTACCGAACGGCACAGTTTGTGTATGTGTGCTTGTTCAGTTTGCACTTTCCAAACGTATCTTCAACACACTTGACATACTTGTCAATAGCATCTTCCTTCCCAGTCATATTGATGTCATCAACGTGTTTGGCTGTCAAGAGGTTTGGGCTCATCTCGAACTCTTCGTCGTATGAAGTAGGCTGTAGCCCAAAGCTCCTAGTGATGGACCTGAGCTTCAACGAGAATGCCCTGGGAGCATCCTTCGTGCCCGTCCCCGGCTTCAGACACCGAAGACAATGCTTTGATTCGTCATATGACTCAAAGCCTGGCAGTGTGCGAAGGACAGCTGCTGACCCAGGAGGTAGTGTGAAGCACGCCACACGCTCTTTCTCGCCCGTTGCCGCGGCGAGCTCGCTATAGGTCAGTCCCTTCAAGAAAGCCATGTTGATGTCCAGGGAAGCGATGATCCAAGCTTTGTTGCATGCAGCAGAACTTGCGAGCAGTCTCTGGCTTGACCTCCTTGCCGTGCCAGAGAAGGTTTCGACATCAAAGGCTTCAAGGTCCATGAAGCCACGGAGTACCAAGCGTAACCTGATCGTCCTTTCCATTTCGCCCTTTTCGTTCTTGACAAACTTCCATTTGTATACGTAGCGTGAAGTCATGATGTTAGACGCTTTGCTCAAGTCAGTCATCTGGAAGCATTTGTTGTCAAGCCAAGTCTTCAATTCTGTGTAAAGGGCTTCGGAAACTTTGACCGGATTTGCTTGAATGTCGGCCTTCGTGAGTAGATCGTCTTCCTTGACGACCACGGCACGTTTGGAAGCAGCACTAACGTATACTCGCATAGTTGTGACGCTGCTGTCATCCAACAATCGGTGTTGCTGCTCGGACAGGACGACTTTGGACATGTCTGCTGCGACGCAGAGCTCGATGCACTTCCCGTGCTCATCGGAGTCCAGATCATATTTACTGTCCGGATCCGTGGAGCACAAAGGAACGTAGTAAGAAGTGTCCATGTCGTATCCTGGCGGGTGACCCCGCTCCGGCAAGTGGCCTTGCACATCTTCACAGGTCGTAGAGACTAACACACACTGTGTGTCTGTCATGTATGTGGGAACTGTATGCATGACTTCTTCTGTGTCAGCTTCAAGGAGTGTTCTGTCATCCATCAGTTCAGCATACCACGACTTCAAGACAAAGGCATCCAGATCTTCTTCTGTTTCCTCTATGATGGTCGGGAGCCGACCATCGTTCTCCGCAGGAGGCTGCTCAGGAGCAGCTGCTGGAGGTGACTCGCTTGGTGGTGGACCATCAGCGAGTTCCTCAAACTTAGTGAGGTCTCGGTCAAATCCAGCAGGCGGCTTCTTGGATTTAAGACACTGGATGATGCGTGAGTGTGTAGATCCTGTGATGTCGTAGATGTTCAAGGCAGTGCCATCAGCTTCATAGTAATGAAAGCCAGGGGTCACATCATTATCATAGTGCACTAGTGTACAGCTGTCTGCATAGGTGCAGCAGGCAACTTCGTCAGGCTCTTGGCAAGTCGTACAGCAACAACGTTTTCAATGCGAAAATAGTTGCGTATGAGGTACTGAAGAGCCAAGTGCACTTTAGGCGAAAGCCGGCTCGCAGCAGTCATCTGCAGCCGGCCCTGTTTCGCTGGTAGATATCCGAAAGTCATGGCGGGTTTCCCCGCTGGCAGACCGGCAATAAAGGCCAATACTGTCCGAAGGGCCGTATTGTCCGATCCTATCTCGCGGACCATAAGTGCTTCTATGTACAGCGTGTGTCTTGTGTCAGGATACTGTACTCGCACTTCGCGGCTACCGACCTTCACGATGACCTGGCCTCGGTCAGGTTCGTTGCGGATGACCGGGTATGGACCACTCCATCCACCCCAGTCGTCTTTCGTGGTGGTCGGGCGATGATAGTCCACGAGATCTCCCTCTTTGTAGTGAAATTCACCCGTAGCAGTAGTCTTCGTACGAAGAGCCCTGTTCGTCTTGGCAACCGCAGTGGCCTGCGTGATTGCCTCCAGACTAACCCTCCTGATTGTCTCCTCCCTTGAGTGATCTGATGATTCAGCGGACTGATCATGATCCAAGACAGGGAAATCGGGAAGCATAGCTGGTTGTCTGCCATATAACGCATTATACGGAGAAACTCCGTTGTAGAAGGTAAATGCATTGCTGGCAAACATGGCTTCATGTAAAAGACGAGTGAAATTCAGAGGAATATTCAATCTATTCAATTCTTCTCCCATCACGTGTATGAGGTGTCGCAGGATGCCGTTCCTAGCTTCGATAGTCGTGGCGTGTTGGCCACGCGCTCGGATACGAAGCTCTGTTCCCTTGGATTTAAGGATGGCCGTTGCTGTATCGTTATTCAGTGCTCCTTCCCCGTCGGAGTATAAGACTTTGGCAGGGCCATGCTGCATCCAAGTTGTGTGATAGGCATCGAGAACAGTGTGCATAGTCTTATCGGGGATCTCTGTACCAGCTGCCCAACGAATACAACGGTCGATGATGTGAAAAACAATATGTTCCTGTTTGTAAAAGAAAAGACCACATTCGACTTCCTCGTTGAAATGTCCTGGCAGTGACACAGATGGCATCACCGTGTTGCCTGGTTTGTCCCAGGCACGACATTCTCTACACGAGTCGCAAATGCCCTTAATCAGACTCAAACGGGTTTCGCCCAAACCGACCTTAGCTAGAATCATCCGCATCTTTGGTTCCTTGGCATGAAACCATCTCAAGTGAAGCTTGCGGAGTTCTCGCTGCACTACAGCTGGGTCAAAGCTGCGCAGGTTTTGAAGGCTGAGCTGAACATCGAAACGAGTCCAATCAGGAAGCCTTGGCCTTGGCCTCGGCTCTACAGGAGGCTGCGGCGGCGGTGGAGGATCACCTCCTTCCATGCGTCCGCGCCTTGCTGCCACTTGCGGCAGTCTACGGTGATCGTCAGAGCTGCCAGCGCCAGTGTTGCTACTATTAGCCCCTTCGGCTCTGGTGATGTCATGGCTGCTGGCGCCTGCGGTTGGATCGCCCTCACCGGGCCGTGGCGGCCTAGGCGCGCGTATGCGCGCTCTCGCGGCCGGCGCCGCTTTTGCGGCTGGCGCCGCTTCTGCGGCTGGAGCCGCTTCCGCGGCTGGCGCCGCAGGAGCGGCTTGCCCCGCCGGGCGCGGCTGCCCAAAGTTATCTGGCAGCTTCCATTTTTCAGCGAATCTGCATTGGCCAGATATCTTGGCGTGGTGAGGATTACTCTTCTGATATTCCTTCTTACAGCTTGGACAGTCCCAATACTATGGTTCAACATCATACCACCGACACATCTTCGGATCCCTGCTGTGCTTTGGAGATTTGCTTGTAGTTGTGGTCCACACAGCCATGGCACCCAAGACCGCCAGGTGGTGGTCGCCAGATTTCTCCGTTTGGGTGTCTCCGGATTGTTGGGTCGTCCAAGTCGTAGCCAGCACTGTTTGTTACGAACGCATAACTGCGTTCGCGATTCGCGAATGGATCGCGACCGTAAGCAAACAGATCTTTGGCGGTTTGCACCGCATCAACGATCAGTGACTGCATTCTGTAGGTATACTGTG